TTAATATTTATACATATATTATTATAGAATCCATTATTTGCTTATTTTTTCTATAGTATAAATATAATATTTATTTAAAAAATAAAATATTGACAAAAAGGCAAATATACTTGTACCAACGCGGACCCCTAATCCAAACAAAAGGACACTCGAGGCTGCCTGACCGCTCTGCGAATATTTGGGCATTTCAAGCATAGAGCCTGTCGGGCTCCAAATAGACAAAACCCATCCTCCAGTTCGATCCCTTTGGAAAATATTCGATGCATTTAAGGACCGTTGGCTTCGATCTTTGCTCGTTTAGCTCCCTTGAATCCTGGTTCCGGGTGGTGCGACGGTGCAGGGGGGACCATCCCGCATCGACTACGGTCTCAAGTATCAGGTCAACTCAATTCCACTGATTGTCAATCTTCCTCACTCAGAATTGATTGTAATATCCTAGTTCGCGCTCGCAGGCCAGATGCATTTCCAATGTCAAGGCAGGCGCAGATCACACCAGCTTCATCACCGGAACTCTCAGCCTCAAAGAAGAAAACAAGGTTCTACTTGATTTATACTTCAGTTTCTCAATCGGAGTGCTGCATTTGGTAATTCGAACTGAATGTGTTGGTATATGGAAGGTGCATTTGATTCGGTTCTCTTCCTATGGAACGGAGCTCATATGTGAGGGCTTGTTTTGTCATCCTAATGAGATCTGGGATCTCGTTTCGTGCCCCTTTGATCAACGCATGTTCTCTGCTGTTTTCTTTACTGGTAACTGTTATTTTTCTGTTTTTTATGTTTATTTTGTTATTCAATCACCCATGTCCATTTGGATTTGATCTAGACTTGGCAATTTTATACCTCAACCTGCTAACCCGCCAATTATTCACTTGTTTAAAATAGGTTACGGTCAAATATTTATAATCCGTGATTGGTTAATGAACCGTTAAGAGAACCCGACGAGTCACGGGTTAATAATAAGTTAACCCATTGGGTTAATGAGTTTGACTTGTTTACCTATTTGAAAATTTAAATTTTTTAATATATTATTTATTTATTTTGTTTTCTAATTCTCAATCCCACCTAAACCTCTAATAATTTACTAATTTTTCCTAATTAGTTAATTGATTTTCTTAACTCATCATTTTCTAGAAGTAAAAATGATGTCATTCCACTAGTGACTCACCTCGTGACCTTTTTTATTTTTGCTTGCCCTCATACACTCTAAAACTCTAACTTTTCAAAGTTCAAACTCTTTTCATATTCTTCAACTTTCATAGTCCATATAGCCTCTAACTTTCAAATTTTAACTCTACCTTTTCTTTTTAGTCTTTAACATTAACTTCGACTTAGATTTTAGTCTCACCGAGTCAATGTCAGGTCAACTCAATCCTTTCTTTCTTTCTCCTTCGAGTTCGAGAAGTGCTCTCTTTGTCATCAATTTTTCTCTTTGAAGTGTTCAGGGTAAGTTGTTTACTTATTTATGCTTTTTAGTTTTCTTTCTATTCTAAGTAAAAGTTCTACTCAATCTTCTCTTTTACTTATTTAGATGCATTCAATTGATTGATTTTTTGAGAGCAATGACCAGAACAAATATGTTCCAATGGGTTCGTGTTTTTTGGTTGTCACGCTACTATTGCTTTTTTTTTTTTTTTTTTTTGTTATTGAAATTTATCAGTGTGTGGTGTTATCTAATTTGATTAGCATTGTTCTTTAAAGG